GAAATAATAAATGAAATCTTCCCTAATATGAAGAAAGAACTGGGAAATGAAATACAGGTGGGGCACAGAACTCCCAATAGGATTGACCAAAAGTAACCCCCAGCACAACAAAGCATAATCAAGCTCTCTTCAATTGAACATAAAGAAAAGATACTTAAATATGCCTGTAAAAATCAATTAACTTATAGAGGAATTCCACTCAGACTCATTGCTAACCTCTCAGGGGAAATGTCACAGGTCAGAAGAGAATAGAATGACATATTCCAGATTCTAAAAGAAAAAAAATTCTCAGGCTATTATAACTTATCTAGCAAAGTTTTTGACATTGAAAATGAAAAAAATATTTCCAAGAAAATCAAAAGTTAAAAGATTTTGCTTCTACTAGACTTGCCCTACATATATTGCTTAAAGATGTTTCAGATACAGACAAAAGGAATAGAACCTACCACAACCAAACATGCAATATGTCCCAATCACATAACAAAAGAAGAGTAAATCAAACAGTGAACGACCCATTGCTAAAATGATAGGATCAAATCACTACCTCAAAATGTAAATGGCTTAAACTCATCAATCAGATAATACATCTATCTGTTGCTTATAATAGACAAATCTAACCAACAAAGATATATGAAAACTGAAAGTGAAAGAATGGAAAGAGATAGTCCAGAACAATGGAAATGAAAAATGAGCTAATGTAGCCATTCTTTTATCAGATATTATAGACTTTGATGTAAAAAACATTAAAAGAGATAATGATATTGCATAATAATTATGGGATCCACTCAGCAAGAAGAAGTCACCATAATAAATGCACAGACACCAAATGCCAGTGTTTCTAGCTACATAAAACAGATATTACTGGGTTTGAAGGGAGTGATAAACTCTAGTACAATAATGGTGGATTTCAATAATCCAGAAGCCTCAGTGGGTAGATCAATGAGACAAACTGAACAATGAAAAAATAGAGCTCACCCAGACAATAAAATAAATGGACTGAATCATTATCTACAGAACCTTTCATCTTATAAATACACTTTTCTATCAGTACATGGAACCTTCTTCAGCATTGTTCATATTACAGGATATAAAACAATTTTCAGCAAATTTTTAAAAAGTTGGAACCATAGCATGGTTCTCTGACCATCATGGAGTTAAAATGGAGAGTAACAAGTAAAAAAAAAAAAGAAAAAAAAAAAAAGAAGAGGAAGAAGAAAAGAAGAGGAGGAAGAAGAAGAAGAGGAAGAAGAAATATTGTAAATATTTGGAAACTGAGCAATTTGTTGTTAAATGAACAATTGGTTATAGGACAAATAAAAAGGAAATTTAAAAATTCTTGAAATAAATGGAGGCATCAATACAACATACCACAAATTGTGTGCACAATCAAGGCAGTGTCAAGAGGAAACTTCATGTCAATTGGTGCCAATGTCAAGAAACCAGAAAGGCCCCAGAGCAAATAGGCTAGTCATACGTCTGAAGGATCCAGAAAAACAACAGCAAAATAATTCCAATATTTGCAGAAAAAAGGAAATAATCAAAACCAGAGAGGAAAAAAACCAAATAGAGATCAAAAGAATAGTAAAGAAGACCAGCAGATCAAAGAGCTAGTTCTTTTGTATTCCAAATAGATTTCCCACTGGCCCAACTAGTCAAAAAAAGAAAAAGGAGGGAGAAGATACAAATTTATAGAATTAGTGGCAAAAAAGGAAATATAAAACAGATATCTCTGGCATACATAGAATAATCACAAACTACCACAAACAACTGCATGTGTACAAATTAGAAGACCTGGAAGATATGGATAGATTTTCAGACACATATAATTTATGAAAACTGAATCATGAGGCAATTAATAATCTAAATAAACATGTTACCAGGATGCAGACTGAACCAGTAATTAATTTTTTCCCAACAAAGAACGGTCTTGGTATGGATGCAATACTGCTGAATTTTACCAAAAAATTCAGAAAGCACATACCCCAATCTTCCACAAGCTTTTCGAAAACAATATAAAGGGTGACAGTCCTTCCAAATTCTTTCTATAAAGCCAACATCACTTTAATGCCAAACCCCAAATGGACACATGAAATAGATCTTCAGACCAGTATCTGTGATTAACATAACTGCAAAAATCCTCAACAAAACACGAGCTGACAGAATCCAACAATACTTCAGACAGATTATTCAAACAAACCAGGCAGGATTTATCCCTGGCACACAGGGATGGTTCAACACTATGCAAATCAATAAATATTATATATCATTTCAACAACTGAAGAATAGAAACTATATGATCTCAAAAGGGCAAGAGAAGCCATTTGATAAAATCCAACATGACTTCATGCTGAAAACCCTAAGCAAGATAGGTATTCAAGGAATATTCCATAACAATCAAAACAATATATGAATAATTTAACGGTCTTTCATTTTGAACGGTGAAAGACTGGAAGCTTTTCCACATGATCTGGAATTAGACAAGGGTGTACATTTTCACTACTAATTTTCAACATAGGATTGGAAATTCCCACTAGAGCTATTAGGAAAGAAAAAGAAATGAAAGGAATTGCAACTCAGAAAGAAATGATTAAAAATATTCCTGTTTGTGGAGTGCTAGAACTCATAAGAGTTTGGCAGGGTTGTAGTACACAAAATCAATGAACATAAATCAATGGCTGTAGTATACTTAAATAATTCCATGAGTGAGAAAGAACTTTGAAAGTACAGTCCCCTTTAAAAAAGTGGAGAAGAATCTTAAACATCTTGGAACAAACCTAAAGATGTGGAGGACCTCTATGATGAAAATTAAAAATATATACATACATTAATTATTGATATATATTTTAAAAACAAATGAGACAAGACATTAAAAGACAGAGAAATTTACCATGTTCCTTAGATCGATAGAATTAACATAATCAAGAAATCCACATTACCGAAATAATATATAGATTCCATGCAGTCAAAATCAAAATCCCAACATTCTTCTCAACAATAGATAAGCATTCATCCAGAAAATACAAGATACCAAAGTTATCCTGAAGAATAAAAATCAAGCTGGAGGGAACATAGTTTCAGACCTCAAAACATACGACATAAGAGTGGTAGTCAAACATGTCTGGTACTGGTACAGAAACAGAGAAGATCAATGGAAAAGAGCAGAAATCCCAAATGGGAGCACACACATGTATAGCCAACTCATCTTTCACAAAGGAACTGAAAATAATTTAGGGGTAAAGCCTGGCTTCTTTCTCAAATTGGACTATTGGATAGCAGGTTGCAGAAGTAATAAACAAGACCCTCACTTGTCACCTTTTATAAAAATCAGCTCTAAATGGAGCAAGGACTTCAATCTGCACTCAGAAACCATCAAACTTTCAGAAAAAATGCAGGAAGTCCTATGCAAGATACAGGCATTGGTAAATAATTCTTAGAAAAGTCACCAAAAGCATAGGCAATCAAAGCCAAAAAGAACAAATGGGACAACATCAACTAAGAAATTTCTATACAACAAAGGAAGTGATCAACAAAGCAAAAAAGTAACCAACAGAGTGGGAGAAAGTCTTTGCACACTACACAAGAGAAAAGGGACTAATATCTAGAACTTACAAAAATCTTCAGAAACTCAAAGACAGCATACAAATAACCCTGTGAAGAAATGGGCAAAGGAAATGAGCAAGCATTTTTCAAAAGAAAAAAATACAAATGAATAAATGTCGTGTGAAAAAATGCTCAGGCTCCCTAGCTATCAGGAAAATATAAATAAAAAACCATATTGAGGGTCCACCTAACCCCAGTAAGATTGGCCTACATACAGAAATCTACTACCAACTGCTGCTGAAGTAGCTGTGGGGAGAAAGATTCTCTACTTTAATACTGGTGAAAGCTTAGGCTAATGTAGCCACTATTCAAGTCAGTATGGAGAATGTTAAGACAATTGAAATTTGATCTACCTTATGACCCAGTCATCTCACTTCTGGGAAAAGAGCCAAACGAAATGAAATCTGCATAGGAAAGAGTGACCTGCAATCCTGTATTTACAACAGCACACTACTCCATGGAATACTACTTAGACATAAAAAAAAAAAAAAATGCTATGAGTTGTGACAAAACGGTCCCAACCAGAGACCATTATCTTCAGTGAAATAAGCCGATGCAGAAAATGCAAATATCATATGCTTTCTCTGATATAAGGCAAACACCATGCAAAATATAAGATAAATTAGATATATAGATGAATATGTATATACCTCATCCAGAGGAACCAGGTGTATAATGAAGATTAGCATTGCAAGGAGTAAAGATACATTGAATTGTGCATCTGTACTCCTGAATAAAATATGGACCTTCAATGAAGCTGTTAAATATATCTCAACAATAGGATACTGAATTTCTTCCATTTTCTGTATCTACAATGTCATGATACACTTAAATAGCAGAATGATGGACTTCTGATGGTTGCTGAAGAAATAATACTATTGTAACAACATAGAGCAAAACAGTTGGGGCAAGTGGGAATATATAAGGTGGAAGGGGAAATTCCTTGAGCCTACGGTACTGTGTGGGAGGGGCGGGGGAAATCCCAGTGCCTATAAAACTGTATCACATAATACAATGTTATTAACAATAAAAAAAAAGAAGAAGAAAATGGTTCCTTGCTATTTCTATGTTCAATGCTCCATTAAATAAAACTGAATCATGTCTTAGGGCCATTCTGAGTGGTAAATATCTAGAAATAATCAGCTATAACTTTGCATATTTAGCAAATTCAGTCTGTCGTGGTTTTCAAAAGGCAGAACTGGGAAAAGGTAATGTCATTTAATGAGAAGCAGGCGCAATTTCCACCAACAAACCTAGAAACATTTCAAAAATTTTAATGTTGAAAAGTTTGAAGTTTTCTTTTTTTCCTTTTGACGCTCTAGGGTTACAAGTTTAAAAGCAAGCCCTTAAGTTCCAGGAAACAATACAAATTAGTAGAAGGCAGTCACAGCCTTACTTACGATGCCCATTCTGTAACTGGTTTCTTCTCTTCTCTTCTGACTTCATTTTGGCTTTTATGTACCACTGACACCTTTAAAAAGGTAAGCGGAAATTTTTAAGAACTGTGCAGGAGAAGAACTAAAATCAATTAAAATATACTTCATCCATAGACAATTTTTTTTCATAAAGATAACTTTAATAATATCTTTATAATGTGAAAATGTACTATAGAAGGATTCTGGCAGGTTGCTCTAAGCTACAGGACTCAGAATACATAAACTTGACATCTTTTGTGCCACTTTTGATACTGTTACTTTCTTATGTCAGTTTTTTTTGGTCAAAAAAATTCAAAATCAGAATCCCAGATTCTTCTGAATCAGAATCTCAGAAATTTAGACAATTATTTTCCATTTTAATGCTAACTAGCATGATATGTAACTCTGTGACTAGTAAAACTACTACATTCTTTCAGACAGCAGCTGTATTTTTTCAGTGACTCAGAATTAACTGACTACCATTCAAGAATGTATCAATTCATTAATATAGATGTAATATAAATATATGCGTGTGTGTATGTATATATACACACATATATATAGCTTTAAATTTGCTATCAAAATATAGATAGCGATTTTATATGCCTATCCTATGGAATTTATAAATGGATTTGAATAAAATATAAGTGTTTTACAAGATTTAAAAACAGAACAAAGGGTGTTTACAGTTCACTGAACCACTGTGCTTGAAGGCAAATGTTTATTATTTCTGCTCCTTATCATAAATCAGTGATTTTTTGGTGGTGGCTCTGTATTTGAGTTGAAGACAGTATGGAAGTATTTTGCAACAAATGTATGTTTCAGATTATGAAGAAGACTCATGGAATCTTTTCGTGACTTTCATTTAGAAAGAATATTTTTCTATCCATAGGAATTATAAGTACATATTTGTGATGTCTTACCAAAGTTGTGTACATATACAAACACAAAGAAAACTGACACATTCCTTTAAATAATTTCAAACATATTAAAATCAATTAAATTTTGGTATTACTTGTACCTTCCTCTTATCATTGGATATAACTGCATTAAAATGAATAGCTGATTTCAATATATGTCATCATTCTAAATCTACACAAAAAAACACAGAAAATTACTATTTAGATGGATGAAACACATTGACCAGCTGCTCAAGTTTCAATCTTTCAAATTTAAATTGATTAATACTTAACATTTTGATCCATATTACTCCAAGATGAAGAAAAACTTGTCTTGAAAAGCCAACGATGTAATTCTAATATGGAATTTCACTATTTAATTGATTAAAGAAGCACATTTATATGATAGTATGTTTACAAGTTTTTATAGAAAGTGCTATACGTTTCCATTAAACCATCTATTTTCCAGGAAAAATAATCTTTCAAGTTATAGTATTAGTACTACTAAAGAAAAAAATTTACAAGGTATAGTATTATTATTATTATAATAAATGAAAATTTCAAGTAACTTATTGAATATGAACTTATCCTCACAGCTTTCAAAATGCTTTTATCCAGTCTTTGTAAGCATCCACAGGTGGGAACCTGCTGATATAAGGAACTGGTGCTGGTGGTTATGCTATGGTATGACGTTCACTATCAAAGCAGAATCTGCCAAGATTCCTATCCATTGTAGGCGTATTTTGCTGCACCAAACGCATTTTGATACACAGTGAATAGAAAGTATGGTTATCCATCAATGTAAGTAATAAACTGGCATTTTGTAGTTACCTTCCAGTGATCAAGAAGAATAAGGTGAGGATGACGAGGAGGGTGAATCCCCCGACAGCTGCTGTGGCTATCACAAGAATCTGCCCTTGTTCTGCTGCCATGTCTGAAGCTGAAACACAGGCCCAATACTATTAGATTCAGCTATTGTGAAACTTCCCTATCACATTTCTGCTATAACTTAGTAGTTAAGGAGTCTTCAGAAAGTTCACATATGTGTACATTAAGCAAAAACTATATGTGATTGTTAAAGGATATGCACAATAATAAACATTTTAAAATCACAGTTTCTATGAACATTTAAAAGTAACTTCTTATACCTGAAATGAGAGTAATGGATACCAAACTTAACATATTTGACCTGTGCTTTATATTTTGGGATACAGAATACAAATCTAAAATAAATGAGAATTGCTTAAGTCCACAGAGTTTAGACACTAACCACAATAGAAACCTTTCTTATTCCTGACAAAATATCATAAACTGGATGCATTCTTGCATCCGACAACTGAAGATTGTGTGATGCAGAATTCCATCAACAGGTGGACTAACACATTTTGTTGCTAATCACACTTGTTCATTTTTCCCCCCTTTATAATTGACTGATAGCTCAGGCTTTATAGATTATTTTGATGTTTGTATCCACAAAACGCTACTTGGAGATTCCTTTATTTTTAAAAAAATACTCAATTTTTCTTCTTTTTTTAATTGGAAAGTCAGATATACAGAGAAGGGGAGAGACAGAGAGGAAGATCTTCCATCTGCTGATTTCCTCCCCATCTTCCATCCACTGACTTACTCCAGTGGCAATGGCCAGAACTGAGCCAATTCGAAGCCAGGAGCTTCTTCTGGGTCTTCCATGCAGGTGCAAGGTCCCAAGCCTTTAGACTGTCATCTACTGCTTTCCCAGGCCACAGGCAGGCAGCTGGGTGGAAGGTGGGGCACTAAGATTAGAACCAGTGCCCATATGGATTCCCGGTGTGTGCAAGACTTTAGCCACTAGATCACCATGCCTGGCCCTATTGATTCCTTTTAAGAGTGTCCTTCTTTGTGTTTCACAGACCTTAACTCAAGTATTAAAGTTATAATTCTCCATTTTGTCAATCCAAGAATATTCATGGTAGGTGGTTAGATGCTTTATCAGTAATTGGAAAACTGATATTTAAAAACTTTCCTCCCCTTGTTTTTTAAGAGACAAGACCAGATAGTATAGCCACAGCATGATTCTTTGACAAAAGCTGTATCTTTAAAATGCTAGGGCTGCATGCTTTGCTTTTAAAGAAAGAAAATATAAATTAAATTTTATATAATTTCAAGTAAATCATTAGCATGCCTCATACTCTGTTCCATCAGAAACTATTTTTATTAGAAGAGATCGCACTTTGTTTAACAATAGAGGTAAAAAAAAAAGCTACAAAATACAAAATGGACAAATTAAGGAACTTTGCTTATGCTCTCAGAGCTGTGAACAGAATTTAGGTTTCTGGGTTTTGTTTCATTGCTTTTTCTTACATTACAACACACAATAATTCACTTAAACATTAATATTCTAACAATTATTTCAATTGATCTGTTCAGAATTCCTTAACATGAATAAAACTCAGTTTTTATTTTAATTTCAATAAACATCAATCTTATTTGTTATAGGAAGCCTAGTGAATAAAAAAGAGTAAATAACTAAAAATGCATAATTTTCATTCTAATAATGTATTAAACTTAAGTACTCGAATGCTCACATAGAAGTAAGTTTTTCTCTGGGAACAAAGCATGTAGTATACTACGCAGAGTAACAGCATCCTTCTCAGACATCATAGCTGTTAGAGAATATACGCAGCTGAAATGCTGTTGTTCACAGAAAAAAAATAGTCACAGCATTAAAGATACTTTTCAAGAAATATAAATTTATATAAAAATATAAGTCATTTATGTTCAGCTTTCAGCAAGAGAAATTTATTATACCCTGGAATTAGATTCTTCTCACTCTGATTTGATCAAGATATTTTCAGGCAATCTATTACATTGCCAAGTTTCAGCTGATAATCTGTGCAGAGACAAGCTAAGTAACTGCATTTTCATCAATAAATGATGTACAGAAGGTCTTTTATTTTATCTTGCCTGAATTTTCTAATCTTTAAAATAGCACTGATATGGAAATGTCACATTTCCTCATTGAAAATTATTTTAAAAACCAAATTATAAGAAATAGATATGGAAAATAACATTAGCTTTTTGACAATAAAGAGAAAATAAAACAATATTTATTGATACTTGCCTGCTTTGTAAATATATATTTTAAGAGTTAAGAACACAAAACATATAATTGCACAGTACACACATAGGCAGCAATTTATTGGGAGATGTATTTAAAGTTGAAATGAGGAAAAGATGAAATTAAGTATGGATAATCAGATTAAATTAGATAATAAACAATAAAATGACAGCTTTAGTAATATTTATTTTCTTATATACCTATGATCTCACTGATTTATGAACTTTGTGATTTTAAGTGGATATTAGACTATTAACTTGTGACACTTTAAAATGTGTATTAATGTAAAATTACTCATTTAACCTCTATATGAGGAATCCAAATACTTCTCCTTGATGAATAAAATACATAAATATGTAAGTCTCCACACTAGCTTCATCTCAGCATCCTCCGACCAGACTGACATTGCTCCACTTCTTTGCATGACCTGAACTCTTTCTCTTATGGTCACTTCCCAGTCACTCCTCCTTCATGCTCATCACATCATTTGTGAAGCATTTTGTTTGTTTGCTTTTGAGATTTGATTGATTCCACAGATATTCCTGTTAGAGTCTTAAAAATTAGTTCTACAAAAATTTGTGTATTTCATTGAAATTACTATTCTGTTAATTTATCTCTTTAACTGGACTGTGAATTCTACAAAACAGAGATGTAATTCACTGTGGTGTCCGTAGTGGGTTGAATTTTCAGGTTAAGGTTCGTGATCACAGTTAACTTGGTTGTGTCAATTTCAGTATTTTTGTAAGAGAGAGAAGACCAGAGGATAAACAAGAGGTAGGGATATAAAGATAGAATCAGACATCAGCATTCGCCAGTCACAGGCAAATGAACATCCAGGATAAAAGAAGCTGGAAGGTGCAAAGAGGGGTGCTTCATTTGAGCCTTTGAGAGAACGAGCTTTTGGTCTCCAGAACCGTGATTGTTTCTTAAAGTTCCCTTGTTTCTGGTACTTTGTTATGAGTGCTAGAGAACAATGGGGTTTGAGTAAGAGAATGTTTACTGGGACTGGATGATTCTGGTAACAAAAGTGACATTAGTCACATGTCCACCTTCCCTTAATGTCTGACGAACATTTGCCTGAAAGCAGCTATGCATTATACGTGAAGACAGTGTACACAACACCAATTTGATCAGATGATTCCAATTATTCTGCTCACTGAAGACAATGTTTCCTAGAAGATGAGAGCTGATAGGAAATTCAGACTTTTACATTTTATCAGGTTGAGTAGACTCAGATTGGAAATATGGGTCTAAGGCTAAGAACTTAATGTTTCACTCAATAAATATTTATTGAGCAATTGCTCTGTCAGGCACTCAGGTGGACATTGGGGGTTATAGTGATGAATGAATGAGACACAGTTACTATGCTGATAGATTTATAACTAGTTAAGTCAGGAAGACATGTTGATTAAAATTATGAATATAATTGTTATAAAAGGGAAATTGCAAGACATTGGAAGACAATAAAAACACCAGTAGCAACATGTCAGCTGATAAGTTTAGAAACTATAAGATATAAAGTGCTGGAGAAAGGAGGTAGAAGGAGATGTTCTTTGCAAAAGCCTTTATTGACTTGGTTTATTTGAACATCTAGATAACATATGCTCTCTACCAAACGGATACTGTGATGCTGTGAAAACACATAATGAAGAGTTACAGGTTCCTGTGTTACATAGGCTTATCTGTACTATTAATCATTATTTTCCATCCAGAGAAACTTGGTTTTAATCAGTTTTGAGGAAGACAATCTATTACTTATTCATGTAAGTAGCAGCTACACAGCACAAACTTGTAGGACTATCCTATTGCAATAAGATGGAGAAAATCATTCAGGGGGTGGGAATTTCAGAAGGTAATAGGGAAATCCTAGGCCATATGGAATTGTACCATAAAATTCAAAATAAAAAATAGGAATATGAAAAGAACCAAAATAAAATTCATGATAAAAATATATTTGTGATTAGCTGATTGAAATTGTTCCTTGTTAAATGGGATGGGATTGCACACTTAGAAATAATAGTGCATTAAAGTAAAACATTTCATTTTATTGTTGGAGATATGTACACTTCCTTCAGAGAAAGCAATTATCCAAAGAGCTGCAAAGTTACTGAGCTAGAATTCAGCACCCAGCCAGGGTTTGGCATCAGCTGGGATGACTTTATGAAGTGAGGTTTGCTTTAGCTTTTTCTATCTTAAAAAAAGGAAAATGAAAAGCTTGTTACTTGGAATCCAAACATTTAAAAAATAGACTTCATGTCTTAGGGAAGTGTGAGAGAAAAGCAATTTGGCTATTTTTAACCAAAGATTTTTCTTCTATGGAAACATATGATTTTGTGTCTCAGTAATCAAGATTATTCTAGTTTATATTTACATTCAAAGTAAAATCTGTTATTTGTATTCTGTGTGATTGCTTTAATGTTAACTCTTTTCTGTTTTGAACATCTTTCTAAAGTTATTAAGACAGCAGGTACATGATTTTTTTTTTCAAAAATGCTTCCCAGTGATGTAAACTGTCTTCATCTTTTCATCAAAGTGATTCTTTTTGCACAACATATATCTCAACCAAATAATGGTTGGCAGCAGACAGCAAAATAATTTTAAGATTTACTGGTAGCTAGTACAGGAAAATTCTCTGTTCAGATCATTTACTATAGCCAAGCTTGGTTTAACCTTATGAGAATGAAGTGTATTCACACAGAGATGCACACATATAGAGTAATTAATGTGATTAACTGCAGCAACATATGCACAAAGAGAAGAGTTTGAGATACAAAGAGAAGGCTAAGGAAATGTTTCTCCTAAACAAATGTTATCTTACAGCACCTTAGATGCTATTATTATTT